CAGCACAGTGGCCTCCAGCAGACAGGACGAGGGCACCCGCCAGCCGGCTCCCCACGTCCATGGTCTGGCGGGCATGTGCCGCCCTTGTGAGAGTGGAAAGGCGCCTTCCCCAGATGGATGCGGTCCCACTGGCATTCATGGGAGAGCGCAGCTGATCTCAGCTTCTCTGCCAGCCCCACTGGCACAGGGCAAGCCTGGCCAGCCACACGCAGCAGCCCGCAGGGAATGAAAGGACCCACACGGCCGCATAAGTGTGCTGCTCCTGGGAGCAGTGCTGGGGACCCCACTGTGTGGGCTGAATTCCAGGGGCCCAAGCTCAGAGCCCGGCCCCACTGCTCAGGCACTGCTCAGACAAATGGCGGGACCTCCTGGAACCTTGCCGTCCACATCCGAGACGTGTATCTGTGTGTCTGAGAGCGAGCGAGCTCAGACTTCTTTCACGGTTATCATGCAGCAAATATGAGCACCTACTGTGTGCTGGGGTCGACACTGGCTGTGTGGGCACGGTGGTGAGCAGGGCAGAGGTGGTGCCTTTGCGGAGTCTGTAACAGGTGCAAGTCAGTCACCCCCACGCGGGGCCCGGGAAGGCCGTGCGGAATGCAGGTTAGGAAGCGTGGTGCAGGGATGCATAGACTTCGAAGGGCTTTTGTATTGAAATGAGCTCATGCTTTAATTCCATTTTTCACAAGCTTTATGAAGGTCCTGCGTAGGCACAGATAGGAAGTGGTGGCAGGATATGGATTGGGCGAGGAGGCCAGAGCACACCCGAGGCTGCCGGCGCAGGCAGGACGGGGTTTGGGGACATGCATGTGAGAAGGGGTTGACAGCAGGGTCCGCTGCAGCGGGGTCCAGAGTCAGGATGCAGGTGCCGAGGCAGGAAGGTGGGAGCTCGGTACTGAAGAGGGCACGAGTGCATCTAGCAGGGCTCGGGCTTTCCCCTCGCTGGGCGGGAAGCAGAGCAGGGTCTGAGCAGGCAGAGGGCCACGCCGTCTAAAACGGGGAGAAAACACAACGAAATCAGCCATCTTGACCATTTTTAGGTGTGCCACTTCGTGTCACCAAGTGTACGCATTATGTCGTGCAGCGTCCCCACCATCTAGTTCAGGATGTTTCATCACCCCAGAAGCAAGCCGGGTCCCATCGATGGTCCCCCCGCCAGCCCCAGGCTCTCAGTTACCGGCTTCTGTCCTGTGTGAGTTCCAGTGTGTGCAGCCAGACTGTGAGCCTGGAGGCTGGGCGCACTGCGTACGACTTGGAGGCCCCCACCCCTGTGGTGGCGTGTCCTCGCACTTCGCCCCATTTGACAGCTGAATCACGAGGCTCATTCCGGTTACTCCCTCATCCGCCGAGGGCTCCTCTGGGTGCTCGCTGTTTGGCCATTAGCGGGCACTGCTGTGAGCCTCGTGGTGAGCGTGTGTGTGGATGGGGTTTTCAGTTTTGGGGTACATACCTGTGGGCTCAGACTAAGGCTCCTTCAGTAGCTCTGAAACTTTTGGAGGAATAGTCAAACGCTTTTCCACAGCGGGGGGGGGAGGGGGGCTCCACTTCTAAGACACCTGTCAAACCCCAGCTGACTGGAGGCCCCAGGGGAGGCAGTGGGGCTCAGGGCAAAAGACAGAGTGGGGACCCCACGGGCGGGGGTGGAGCTTACTGATTCGTGGGGAGCCTCAGCGGGTAACCCTCATCCACCGCAGCCACCTACAGCCCCACTGGCAGAGCTGTGGTCCCCAGTCTCGCACACGCAGACGCACACACGCACCCACATACACATGAGCATGCATGCACAACAGCGAAGGCCAGACATAAGTAACCCTGATGCATTTATTAAATACCCACCCACCTGCACCCCCACGGTGTGCATGTCTCCACGGCTGCCCCCACAGTTTCTGCACAAGGTCGGCAACACCTCTTCATG